AAACTAAACTAAAATAAAGGAATTAAGTAACTAATATAGCTAAGATGAATGATATGAGACCTATAATATGTAATACTATATGCTTTCATCACACCCCCCAACTTAGACTTTACTAATCTCTTAACAAACTGAAAAGAAACAATTACAAAAATTTCTAACATTATACTATAAATTTTGAAGCAGAATCCATAACCTAACAAGTAGAATCAAATTGAAATGCTTATGCTTAAGGAATAATGGCACACATTTGGAATCAAGAAGTCTTCATTTACATATTTTTGTTGTGCTTTTTGGTACAAAAAGACAAAAATGTAATAGCCTTCTACCTAAGGTTCTTCTACTAGACTATTATCACTATCTAAAAGAAAACATCCTAAAGTTCTTCTGAAACCTATACACTAATTAGACAAGAAAAATCAAAAGAAAACATAGAAGTAGGGAAGTAGGTCCTAAAATCACTCAGAATCAGAAGTATCCCCATCCTCATCCTCCCTCTCAAAAATATCCTCCTCATCACTGCTCTGCATAGCCACACTGAGAGGTTTAGTAGGTATAGGATTAGATCCTGTCCTAGTAACAAGCGTCGGAGTCTCCCCTAAAAATGCCTCTCCTGTGAAAGCACCCTCAAAGAGCCTCCTCAAAATCCTCACACATATGTCAACCTTTGACTCTGCCCTCTCCTGAGCATGCCTAGCCACTCTCACCTCACTCTCAATACCACCTAACCTCTCCTCCAACTTACTCACTCTCTGATTCATAGTGGCTCAAGAGGTAGGGATAGTCTTAGTAGCATCATCAGTAGTACTAGGAATGACCTTGCTCTTACTCTTAGATCTGCTAGGCTTCGACATCGTGGAGTGCTTCCTCTCCCCTGGCCTATCGAATGATGTCATATGCCATCTTCTTCACCCTAACTCCCTCGCAAAGCTTGGTAATCATACTACCAAAGGGGATGTTCCCCTTTGGTCTGCTAGTCGTGCAATAGTCTCCCAACACGCCCCAAATCATCCAGGAAATGTCAATCCCAGACCCCCATAAACTCATGTAAAAACACAATTACTTCTCCTCAAAAGTGGGTAGATAATAAAGTGGTTCCTAAGCGCAGAAATATATATCGTTTAGTAACTCGATTGATTACCGAGGTTGTCTCCTCAAGTAGGACAAATTAAAAAGGTGACAAAGTAAAAAAAAAAAAATCTTGGGGTTTTGGAAAAAAGGTTTTGAAAATAGATAAACTAAGTAACAATAATTAAATAAAATCAGTTAATAATCAGAGCTCATCCCTTTGCGAATAATAATTTTGATCAAACACCATTGAATAGAACATATTCAACTAAAACCAATGAAAGTAACAAAGTTGTATTTAAATTGATTGACTTAATTTTGAAAGAATTATATTCACGTTGATTGCAGTGATTCCAAGAATTACTTGTGCCAAGTCTTAGTTGTCTACGAATAAGCAATAAGATATACATATCGCCCGTGTTTTCAATTTTAATTATTCAATCAATAAAATAACTTTAATCTTTGAAAAAATCCTAGTTAGGTCAAACTATCCATTCACGGATGCGAATTCCTCATCCGAGCATATCGGGAATTAACTACTCAAATATAATGAAAGTAAAATTAAAAACAATAAAAGAGGACATGGTAATTTAAAACAAATAAATAAAACTCGTATTGATATTCGAATTTAAAGAATACTTTTTATTAAAACTAGAATTGAAAGCAATTACAATAAAATAAATAGAAATTCCTTAATGTTCAACAGAATTGACAATTATAAAGTAAATAACAAAAAACCTTGTGCTTGCAATCTAAACCTAAAAAAAGAACAAAGAAAAAAGATGAGGAGGAGCAGACCCCCTTAGAGAACGTCCAAGGATGACAACGAGTCTCCCTAAAGTCCCCTAGGAGTTGGTATTTATACGAAAAAAAAGGGAGAGAGAGAAAGAGAGGGATATAACTGATTTTCTAGAGATCATATTTCCGTCTATGTCTATCTCTTATTCCTAAAAAATCTCCGAGAATATCTCTAAGATATGACCAATCAAAATCCCTTCCTATCTGAAGATTTAGTCAGGTTGAAAAGAAAAGCCATCACAGCAGAATTGCACTAACCTAGCAGTAGGAAGCACAAAATGACCTACTAGTAAAATTGTTCACTCAATTCTCGAACAAGAGCGCCAAGCTGTTGAAATCGCAAACATTTGCTCCAGAATTGTAGCATCTGGTTCATCTCAAATAAATGATTTATATATTTTACATGATTGTATGTGTTTATTGACATATATAGAATATAGAGAATTATGTCACAAGTATATCTGCATAGAAGTTGGGCAAATTGTGGTTGCGTTTACTTGGTGCTATTTATTTTTTTCAATGGTACTACCAGCTTCAAATGAATTACAGTGATTAGATGGACAAGAAAAGAGTTAAGATGGATGTGATTTTACCAAGTGACTGAATTTCTTGGGTTCGAAGATGAGGCATTTATCAACTTCATTTTTGGTCTTTGAGACAAGTAATTTAATTGCTATTTCCATTTTTGTTGTTCTTAGGAGTCATTTATGTACTCGATAGCATGATCACTACTTAGCAACTGATAAAATTGAATGATAGGGAAAATAGTGAACCTATGACTTTGTCTTACAGANGCAAAGCTTGGTAATCATACTACCAAAGGGGATGTTCCCCTTTGGTCTGCTAGTCGTGCAATAGTCTCCCAACACGCCCCAAATCATCCAGGAAATGTCAATCCCAGACCCCCATAAACTCATGTAAAAACACAATTACTTCTCCTCAAAAGTGGGTAGATAATAAAGTGGTTCCTAAGCGCAGAAATATATATCGTTTAGTAACTCGATTGATTACCGAGGTTGTCTCCTCAAGTAGGACAAATTAAAAAGGTGACAAAGTAAAAAAAAAAAAATCTTGGGGTTTTGGAAAAAAGGTTTTGAAAATAGATAAACTAAGTAACAATAATTAAATAAAATCAGTTAATAATCAGAGCTCATCCCTTTGCGAATAATAATTTTGATCAAACACCATTGAATAGAACATATTCAACTAAAACCAATGAAAGTAACAAAGTTGTATTTAAATTGATTGACTTAATTTTGAAAGAATTATATTCACGTTGATTGCAGTGATTCCAAGAATTACTTGTGCCAAGTCTTAGTTGTCTACGAATAAGCAATAAGATATACATATCGCCCGTGTTTTCAATTTTAATTATTCAATCAATAAAATAACTTTAATCTTTGAAAAAATCCTAGTTAGGTCAAACTATCCATTCACGGATGCGAATTCCTCATCCGAGCATATCGGGAATTAACTACTCAAATATAATGAAAGTAAAATTAAAAACAATAAAAGAGGACATGGTAATTTAAAACAAATAAATAAAACTCGTATTGATATTCGAATTTAAAGAATACTTTTTATTAAAACTAGAATTGAAAGCAATTACAATAAAATAAATAGAAATTCCTTAATGTTCAACAGAATTGACAATTATAAAGTAAATAACAAAAAACCTTGTGCTTGCAATCTAAACCTAAAAAAAGAACAAAGAAAAAAGATGAGGAGGAGCAGACCCCCTTAGAGAACGTCCAAGGATGACAACGAGTCTCCCTAAAGTCCCCTAGGAGTTGGTATTTATACGAAAAAAAAGGGAGAGAGAGAAAGAGAGGGATATAACTGATTTTCTAGAGATCATATTTCCGTCTATGTCTATCTCTTATTCCTAAAAAATCTCCGAGAATATCTCTAAGATATGACCAATCAAAATCCCTTCCTATCTGAAGATTTAGTCAGGTTGAAAAGAAAAGCCATCACAGCAGAATTGCACTAACCTAGCAGTAGGAAGCACAAAATGACCTACTAGTAAAATTGTTCACTCAATTCTCGAACAAGAGCGCCAAGCTGTTGAAATCGCAAACATTTGCTCCAGAATTGTAGCATCTGGTTCATCTCAAATAAATGATTTATATATTTTACATGATTGTATGTGTTTATTGACATATATAGAATATAGAGAATTATGTCACAAGTATATCTGCATAGAAGTTGGGCAAATTGTGGTTGCGTTTACTTGGTGCTATTTATTTTTTTCAATGGTACTACCAGCTTCAAATGAATTACAGTGATTAGATGGACAAGAAAAGAGTTAAGATGGATGTGATTTTACCAAGTGACTGAATTTCTTGGGTTCGAAGATGAGGCATTTATCAACTTCATTTTTGGTCTTTGAGACAAGTAATTTAATTGCTATTTCCATTTTTGTTGTTCTTAGGAGTCATTTATGTACTCGATAGCATGATCACTACTTAGCAACTGATAAAATTGAATGATAGGGAAAATAGTGAACCTATGACTTTGTCTTACAGATTTTCTTCCATCCACTATCCAAAACTATGCACCAAAACAAATTTTGATCCTTGATATAATTGTATGGTAAAGACCATTTTTCAGAAGCATATATAAAAATTCAGAAATCCAGTTTAATACCAACTCTAAAACTCATTATTCAACTGATGGTGAGGTTCCTTCTAAAATGTCTAACAATGTTTTTGGTTTCTCTCACACATATATCATGACACTAGAATGGAATGGATTTGGTAAACTAGACCTGTAAAAGATCTTCCTAAAACTGGCTAAAAAAAATCAAAAACCATAATCAACTATTCTTAATCAATAGATTGAGAGAAGCCAACTAACCTGTGTTACATGTCAGAATACTGACCAAAAATCTGGGATATAGAATGGGAAAGCAATATAAAGGACAATGCCTCCATTTAAATTTATTGTTTGTGTAAGTATATTGGTTACATCAAAATATTTATCAATTTAGCTAGCTGATAAGCAATGACAAGAAGCCAGTGTAATAAAAAGATGTGTGTTACTGCAAAGGTTTGGTTTTAAGATACATCTACTTCTATGAGTGCATACAATATCTCCAAAATAGAGTAATTGTACATGTACGGGCTAATATTACTTCATATTAGGAGTGAGAAATTATCTTGCCTGTTCTTGCTTCCTGGCCATTGAGGAGCCTCTCGATCCTCTTCTCCTCCTTCACAGGTTATAGCATCAGGTCCTAAAATAGCGCTCTGTTCCTCAACCAAAACCAAGCTCTCCATGTAATTATCCACATAAACGGAGTCAATAGCACCACGAAGTCCAAGTCCCCTCATCTGCAGGGTGTTTAGGTCATAAGTAATCAACTTTCCGCGCACCGTTACCAATATAACTTCTTCATTCTTTCTAAACCATATCAGTTTCTGTAAGCCTCCATGTAAATCAATAGAGTACAGTTTCGTCCAGGCTTCTATCACGCCATACTCCTTCATCACCCATACAGAACAAAATTGTTTCCGTGAACCATATTCATAATGGTACACTGAAAGCATTTCCCCAAACACAGAGACAGTCAAGTCCCACCCACATTGCACTAAACTATCTGGCAGCAGCATCCCACGGAATATCTCATCACTCATATCAAAAGAAACAACCAGAGCGCAATCCCCCTTGGCCACACAAGGATCATATCCAATCCAATGCACAGCCCCATTCACAAAAGCCTGCGACCAAGTACAGCCATAAATACCATAGGGAGGAGCTCCGGCATTGAAACCCCTCCATGACCCAGAACTTAAAGCATATAATTCAACCTCAGGTGGAATCAAATCACGCCCATTTCGCCCTTTTACATATGCAACTCTCACCACCTTATAGTCATTACTCTTAGAATCGAACCCAAACCCAAGAACAAACATGTAAGACCCGTGTGTCTTTTTTGTAACACGGGGACTTGGAAGACTCTTATACTTTCTAATTGATGGATTCCACAGAATTATACCATAGGCATTGTCACCGTAGTCATCAGACAGACACAGCACCCCATTACAAGAACCCACAATCCTAAAATGATATTTTGATCGAGTCTTGAATGGAAACTGTAGTTCTACATTATACTCATTTAGAAGCGTTTGATTTTCATTTGAAAGTAAAAGATAGTGTTCTTTCTTGTGCCTCTCATTCTCAGCGAAATGCCTAAGGAGGAGAGAGTGACTGTGACACTGTCTATGCTTTGTTTTATTGATATGGGCTGTGATGAAAGTGGGATTAGAAATTATAGAGTACCACAATCGGCAGACTAACCTGATTTGGAGAAGAGTCTTAACTGGTAGTCTGGTGAAGATCTCAATCAAGACTTCTTGAGGGAGATAATCTGACATTTCTGCTCTGGCGCTTCAAAAGATAGTGAGAGAGACTCAGGTTTTTCATCAGAGAAGTGATTCAGGGGTTCATAGAAGAGAGGAAAGCGGGCAGTGTTCCTTAGGAAACGCAAGCGCTCCTTCACGACGACAGATGGGGATGGGGGAACGGAATTGGGCTTTGAGGTGGATTTAGATTTGGGTGGGTTTTGGTTGTCCAAGAATTGTTAGAACAGAGACAGCTCGGTTTTGTGAATAAGATACGAATTTTAGGTGTCCATTTGGTGATTTTTTTNTTGTATGTATTAGAGTATGGAGAAAAATATTTCCTAGATTGATTAAAAACATTCACCTATTCATGGAGCACTTCCTTAAAAGCTGGAATAGTTGGATACTCCTTAGTGGAATGCTTAACTGACTCACAAATCGAGCACGACTCCTTAACCTTAGGTATAATGACTGTTTTATTAACTCTCTTCAATTCTAAACCCTCCACTTTTCGTGATAAAATATGTGATCTTGACCAATAACTCATCATGGTCTGTCAATGTGATGCCCTGATTTTCAGGAGTCCTGTTTAACTCATTGATCACCCATTAATCCGCAGAATACCTGTGAATACCTTATAACTAGATACACTTCATTATGCCCTATTTACCGAAATTCATAACTTAACAAAATTCAACCAGAATATCTTTTATACGAGGAACTCTACCCAATACACAATATGTGCATTTATACAATATTAACCACACTAGGTCCATTCATCAATATTCAATCACATAACATTGAATATTAATTCATAACTATCACTTATACATATATTCATTCATAAAAGAATAAATATTCAAAAGAGTCTCATATACATGTCTATTTAAAAAATTTATACAAGACCAATGTAAATGGAACAAAAACTACAATATCAAAATAAGAGTCACAGTCTGACTCTATCGTCAAAGCGAGCCCAAGTTAGGGCTTCTTGCGGATGTCTATTCGTAAACTTGTGAAATACACTTGGCTTCCTCTTGCTACCTAGCATTTATTTAATATTTGGATATAAACACATCCATATGGAAACAAGAGTTTTAAAGAGACCCAGATGTCTTTTGGAAAATAGCCAAAGTCCAAGAATCATCAACGAGGATCCACATGAATCTGTGTGAAAAAAAACAAGGGTGTTGTTCTCTCTAAACGCACGGTGCCACTTAAATGGAACAAACAAAACGAACTAAAAACTTAGTTCGAAAGAGTGCTGCTTCTTTTACTTCTCTACTGCAAACAAACCATACAAATTTCATCGCCAAATTGTAGGATTGGTGTATTAATAAGAGTACTATTTAATTCTATCATTTGTGTAACAAATTTGAATTAAGGTTAAGATAAGGTATAAATCTATAATTATCTATATACTACAAATAAAATTATCTTAACATAAAAAAATTTTAATTTACTATTTTGCCCTTATAAAAAACTATAGAGGTTAATATGTCATTTTGTATTTAATATACAAATTATCATAATATCCCTTTGTATTTAAATAACAAACTAATTTCTAACATATCATACAAATATCTTTATTTTTTGCAAAACTTTTGAATGGTCATGTTATGCTTAACATGATATATAAAAACAACATTATTCTTTTTTTTCCCAAAAATCCAATATTAATACACGTTGACAACCTCATTGATACAATATCATCTCTAATACCCCTAAATGGATATATTTATTTATCTCTTCATTCACAATCAAAATAATTTGATAAAAAATTACTGATACACAAAGTAAAAACAAGAAAGTCAAAAAAAAAAAATCGAGAAAAGAAAAATTTATAAGCGTCAAATGAAATAATCATAGAAAATGAGTCCATTTGATATTTATAATTATGAAGAGAATACAAACAATTTAAGTATGATAAATATGATATAATATCTAATGTAGCTACATAATTAAATTTTTTATGTAATTTATCAAATATTTTAACAAAAATTTTTACGTGTGGCGCACACGTTGTGTATTGCTAGTAATATTAAATTCATGTTTGGATTCGGTGGTAGTGTATGATAGTAAATAGAAAAGGACAAAACTAATATTGAGGGCAACAGTTTGTTGAATGTGTAGCTTTTATATGATGGAGTGCATCTAGATTTGGAGGGATAATAAAGTCATTCTGTTTTAAATACTGAACATATTAAAAATAATATTACCTGCTGCATTATATTTTTTTTATATGATATTCATTAATACCTAATATTAAGTATTAAATGACAATAGTGCATCGGGTTGGGATTGATAAAAAATTAATATTGGGTAGTTATAATTCAATCTAAACTTGGTATTACATCATCGTCGAATTAAATGCATCTAATCTAATCTCTTAATACCTGAACCGAACTTGACCCTAAAAATTGCAATTTCTAAAGTAATGCTTTCAAAGTATAAAAGCTTGTCAGGGTAAATTATTGCAATTAGCCTCACTTTTTTGAAGGATGTCCTATTCCCCTATCTGTATATTGTAGTAATTGGTATCTCACTTGCCTCCCTTGCTCTCCCTCTTTTTTGTTTTTTTGTTTTTTTGTTTATATATGATATGTACATCAATGTTTGACCCTTTTATATTTAATAAATATTTCAATAGCACATATAATACAATAAATTTGAATATATTTTTTTATTTTTATTGATTATAGAAAAAACGTCAAACTTCAAAAATTGTGAAAGTTCAAGATAATGAGCTATTGAAATTAGTCTTTAAAAATTGCTTTCAGAATATTTTTTGGGTTCTTCAGTTTACTTTGTAAAGAATAAAACAATAGTGTAAAGGTGAATGTTGTCAAAGTGCAAAATGTCAATAGGTAAGCAGAGTCAGAAGAAGGGTTAAAATTTGCTCCTTTCACTAACTTGTATGAAAATAACAAAATGCCCTCTATACAAGTCATTAAGTTGTATGATAATCTGATTGTGGGTGAGCATTAGAATGATACTTTGTACAATTTATACCCAAATTTGACATTGTAGTTGCTATTTTTTCACTGCATCTATACAAGTCATTAAGTTGTGTGATAATCTGATTTGTGGGTGAGCATTAGAATGGTACTTTGTACAATTTATACCCAAATTTGNAAGAACAATGTTTCTTGAATGCAAGACATGTATTTTGTTGAAAACCACATGTTACTTGAAAAAAAATCAAGAGCGAACAATAGGTTAATCAAAAGAAACCAAGAATGAAAGATTATTTAGCATATAATAATCTAGAAGATTTAAAACATACATAAGTATATCTTAAGTTTCAATGAAAGAACTTGAGAAGAATCTCCTACCTCTAATCTAGAGATTGCGTGCATGTGACGCAATCCCCGTGTGTTAATTCTTCGCGTGCGCCCCTCGTTGTTCCTCTTTTTCTTATTCTTAGAAGTTATTAGGCTTGTTGGAAGTGAAAAGCAGATAAAAGAATGTCAAATATCAGATCTAGGGTATATATAAGGTGAAAAATGGAGGAAAATGTTAGGGGGTGCAACTAAGGTGNCTTTTTTTTTTTATTTTCCTTTTTTCGTTGCACTAGTGCCTCCATTTGTTGTTGATTTTCAACGTCGTTTCTTGCACAACTCCAACATTCTTGATTTTCATGATGAGTTGAAGGATGATGACCCCTTGCATCATCGAGGTTTTATTAAAAAAAGAAGAAGGATGATGACCCCAAACTGTAGATGTCGGATGTTGGACATGGGTTTCCTGCCAACTAGATAATATTTCTAGGTTATATGCTGACTTAACACAATACTTATATCCGTAGTAATTGGTATTCAAAGTGGTAAAAATATTAACTTAGTTCGCATTGTTTGGTAAGTCAATTAATAGAGAGTTATGGTATGATTTAGTTTCAACGATTTAGTGGTTTTGGAATCGAACGGGATTAGACAATACATTTTTGTGTCATTGAGAGATGAATAAATTGATTTGAGTCTTAAAAAGAGAGCAAGAAGCTAGAGATAAAGGATAAACATAATAAGACAATGACAGTGTGAGGGAAAGAAAACTTGAAAAGAGGCATTGAGATTGAAATGAATTTGAGAGGGATATACTTTTAAAGCTAGAGTAGTTACTTCTAGGTTTTTTTAGAAAGTTTTGTAATATTTTAGAGTTTTTTATAAAATTTTAGATAAATTTGTGAAAATATTATTATATTTTTGGACTTTCTATAAAGTTTTACATAGTTTTGTGAAATACATTGTGCCTTCACTTGGCTTTCACATANTTTGTGAAAATATTATTATGTTTTTGAACTTTCTATAAAGTTTTACATAGTTTTGTGAAATACATTGTGCCTTCACTTGGCTTTCACATATTCTAATTCAAACTTGGTATTACATTATCATCAGATTAAATAAATCCAATTCAATCTGAACTAATTCTAACCCTAAAAATTACAATTTCTAAAGAAATGTGTTTAAAGTATGAAAGCTTGTTGGGATCAATTGTAAATTATTGCAATTATCCTCACTTTTTTTGAAGGGTTTTAATTAATCTCTTTTTTGTTTTTGTTTTTGTTTATATATGATGTGTACATCAACGTTTGATCTTTTTATATTTAATAAATATTTCCATATCACATATAATACAATAAATTTGAATATGATCTTTTATTTTTATTGATTACAGAAAAACGTCAAAACTTCTACTTAAGGTGCTCATCCAAGATAAAATCTCTATCTCCGCCCCTGGCTGCTGCCCCAAGTTTTGGTCGTGTCTAGTTATTGCGGGTTCGTGTCAAACATTAGTTAATTCTAACCCAACTTATTTAACTAATTGTTTCGTGTCGTGTTGGGTTGACATATTTATTTTTGTGTTGTATTCATGTTCGTATTCATTTTCGTGTTGAACCTCATAAACTCTGAATAAAAAATTTAACGCTAAAATTCTATTTTTCCTTAATTAAATTCATGCTCATACTTTTTCTACAAATTAAAAATTAACTTAATAAACATAATAATAATAATAATGAGTAAAAATATATTTTTTATGTAATAATTATGTCAGTGCTTAATAAACAGTGACAAATAATTAATATTTTATTTCTATAATACTAATTAATTATGTTGATCGTGTTAATTTCGTAGTATTCGTGTTACCATACAAACGAGGAAATAGAAAAAGTTTCAATTCTTAAATAAATGGATTAATCGTGTCAATTTCGAATTAAATTAAGAAGATTGAATCCCTTAAAAAACCACTATACACTAACATGTAATTTTCACAGGGGGCACTCCCCCAAAATGAAACTGCTTAACAAACACTTTTATCAGACTAAGCACAACTTGGTAAAAATATCTGGTCAGCATAGCAGAGTTCCTATTCTCAAACCCCCCCCCCCCCCCCCCCCCNTGATTTACCCAGCTCGACGACTGGAGGCATATATTGGATTAGCTGTTTTCTTAATCACTTGAGCCTGAACTTTACCAACTCCTGCCTTCTCAAGCCGTGCCCTGCGAGCAGTTTCTTGGATCCGGCGATCATACTCTATAAGCATCTGATCCACATTCTTTGATGGAGCAAATACAGGGCCGGAGAAATGGATCTTGTTTCCCCTGTGCCCATGACTATACTGAGGAGCAAAATGAACAACCATCAAGCGTTAGATAAAAAATTCCAGAATGCCTGAACATAGTTGATGTCAAGATTCACAATGATTCATTAGATGGACGCTACGTGGAATAAAGAAAATCAACAAATCATACGCCACATGTGAAGACAAAGTACACCAATATAGCTAAAAACAATGGTGATAAGTTTGTACATAAACATTGTAGCATAGGCCTTTCAAAAAGAGCTTGTGGCTTGCAGTTAAAGGCCTGAATGTTTCCAAAGTCATCAAAACAACAACCACCACCAAATTAATGATATTTTGGAATATAAATGTTGATCCACAAAAAAAAAAAAAAAAAGGTTACAAAAATCAGAAATGACTGATGAAGGAAAAATTTAACATTGATTTAATTATTTGTAGAATTAAAAAAAACTATCACGGGAATTAGTGCATCATTAATTGAGAAATATTCACGTGTTATCTGGTGAATTAAACATGATAATATGAAACACTGATTAGAAGTTATGGCCAAAAGGTTAAAATGTGTTGTCATGAAACTCACCGGAACTGGATCTATGGTACTAGCCTTTCCATTTTCTATCTGATGCAAACCAGGAATGTTCTGTGCCTGATGCTTTGAATGCTGCTTTCCTGAATGTTTCTCAAATGATTCTGTCAGCCTGCCCCCTTGATTGGTTGCCTCGGAGTTTGAAGAATCAAGTTTGTCTCGACAATCTTCAGATAATGAAGTCCTAGAGGCTACCAAACCAGATAAAGTGGATAAGTCAGCTCTGGTTGAAACAGTGGAAATGTCATCATATCTTTTTCCAACTTTTGCCCATCCAACCCCCGGAACCAAAGGCCCTGAATGTGAAGCCTTATTTGTCTGATGTCCCAAGAGAACTTCACTCACTTCTTTTACTTTTTGTGTCGGTCTAGGTGGACCAATAGGAAACCCAAGAACAGCTCCATCCTGATGACGGTTGAATAGCTGACTTCGGCTCTTTGGACTGGAACGTATCTGTATCAAGGTGAAAACTATTTTCATGATAGGATGTACAACAAAAAAAAACCGAAAAACTAAGACGTTAAATAAGAAGAGAATGGCACGAGATAACTACTTTGTCAAGAGGAAATAGGGGAAATTAATTGTTGAGGCAAAGAAAGTTGAACTACCAAAGAACATCACACCGTTCAGCAAAATCAGCATTGAGAATGCATAACCAAGGCACGAACGTTACCAAGATTTAGTTCGTGGATGAAATTTAACACCCAGTTTTTCAAGCCGGCATCATACTTAATATTCTCCTAAATCCAAAACATGACAATCTCAACACCCCAATTACTTAATGGATCGTAAGTCAAGACTAAGAAAAGGGGAGTAAAAAAGAATGCGATCATTGACAGGACTTAATATCCAAAACAAGAACCTGGTTATGAAAGAAAGCATGCAAGTTCTAAAAATTCAATGAACATGCAAAATAAAATAAATAAAACATACGCCGGGAGGGAAGAGCCAGTGAATTGAAGTTGAAAATTAATAGCCAGTGACTCAATTTACAGTTTGTTTGATGTATATTTCCAGTTCCTGTATGCACATCATACATAAAATGCAAACATATGCATGCAGGAAGATATTACCTACAGTTTTGAATGTGTCAGCCAGCCAACTTGTATGGTCTCTGAATAGTCATTCCAGAGACCTAGGATTGAAACCCTAATTATCAAGGTTAGGGGATATAGGTGAAATGAAGGAAAGAAGGATTAAGCAATTATCATCTTCAGAGACAAGATAGAGGATGAGAGAAAAAGAAAAGAGAAAAGAAGGAAGCTATAGGTTCCATAACAAAATTTTCTACTTCCCCCACAGATCTGGGCTGGCGACTTAAGTTACTAAGTTGAAGGATACTTAACCCCCCCAAAAAAAAACCAAAAAAAAAAAAGCAAAGTTAAAGGAGAGCTCTTTCAACACAATATTTATAGGATGTAAGGTTCTGAATTTAGTGGAAAAGTTTGACAGTTTCAGCATTTAAAAATCTAGAACAGTTTCAAGTTTTAAAGTGTAACTTCAAAGAACAATGGAAACTTAGTAGTTTCAACATGAAACAATCCAAACGAGAGAGAGAGAGAGAGAGAGAGAGAGAGACCCTAAATATTATTTTGCATACCTTCATTGACATAGCTAACTCAGCATTAGCTTCAGGTGGCGGAACTGCCCACAAATTTTTTGATCCTCTCACATCCTGGTCAACCCTCAGGCTCCTGACTCCCACTGCTCCTTGCCTATGAGAATACAATAAAACATAATTATTGCAACCACATTAGATGGCAACTAAGCTCACTTAGGAACATAAGTAAATAGAAGAAAAGGAAACAAAGCATTATCCTGTACACCTTCACTGCAATCTAAATAAAATCCTCAACAGTGTGAAAAAAAGATGAATTTATTCAACCCAATCAAGATTGATACGTAAAATACAACTGATTCAGTCAAATCGACAAATAAACAACAAATAAAGGTCATACTCTGCATAATCCAAGTTCTTTGTTTTGAAGATGTTCCACCACTCATTGTAGACATTCGCCAACATTCATGTCACAAATGGCTACCTCTACGGTTATGCTAATATTGCTCAAGGCAGAAGGAAAAAGAAAAAGAAATACTGTACAGAATATCAGTAGCTGACAGAACATATTTTGCCAGAATAAGGTGAACTACTTGACAATCTGTTGAACTTACTTCCCACCTAGAATCGTTTGTCATGGAAAACAAGTTTTCTTTTCAATATAAAGACTGCTGAATCATAAAATGAGATACTATCTCTCTGCAAGAAAAGCAAAATGGATTTCCAAATATGACAAGTAATTTAAGGGCATGCACCTTCTGGCTTCTTCATCCCGCAATTTTGCATCAATCTCCTTGCTGGGAGGATATTTTGGCAAGCTTGAAGGATCACAAGCAAGAGGCTTTGTTGCAAAGAACTGCCAAGAGAGAATTATTAGTCTGGATAGTTCAAAAGAATCACGAATCTTGCTCACGAGAATAAAAAGAATCTGATGATGGTTCAGCAACTGTTAGAACGCTTAAACTCTAGTATCTGGAAAGTAAAAAACATTCACTTTGCATTTAACACAAGTAGCACAACAATAACTTTTTGATAGCCAACGGAAGTGCATTTATGAGACTTCAGACATTTAATCATGGAAATCCATCAAAAGACTACGATGACGGAATCATCTAAAGGGGCAAAAGAGGGGGGGGTCAAAAGTCATAATTAAAGAAGAATTAAAAAAAATCAAGGGTCATGAGAAAGAAAATTCAAGGAGAAAGGGACTGATTTTTTTGTCCAAGATTCAAATTTGATAGTATTTCCCAAAATAAGCACGTACCTCACTCTTAAGTGCCCAGGCTGCAGTTCTCCGGTGTGCAGGATCTATTGAAAGTAAGGTCTCTATAAGCCCTACAGCAGGAGCTGGAAAATCTTTAAATGTTTCTGCAAGACGTCGTCTATAAGGCTGTACAGGTTTGAACACTGTTGAATGAGGTAATTTTGATTTTCTCCAATAGTCCTCAGATGGAGAGCCACAAAGCTTGAAAATTTTATGCAATTGCTCTACCTACAAAGGTATAAATTAAATTTATGAGGACTGTATTAATAATAGTAAAATGAGACAACTACAGTTATATGCATATATTGTATTCTACGAGCACAGTGTGTAAAATGCAGCATGCATAGTGTGATTACGGGAAAACAGAAGAGGACATGAAGCATTTTGCATTGAACCTGTAAGGTCTGACTGGAAGCTTAAGGAGTATAGTTCATACACATCATGTAGATCCATGATGCACACATATCATGTAATTAAGTCTGCTATAATTTAGCCCCTTATATAGACACATGACAGTTGTATATATGCATATTTACAGCAAAAACCAGCCTAAAAATGCATGCTATAGGCTTTCTCTGGCTCCAACACCTCTGCCACAAAATTTGATGCTGATGAGCTTTCCAGTATGAAGGCAAGTCACATGGTGCCTAATGTGTGCCCAATGAGCCCAAATAACAATGGCCTTCCAAATAAAAAAAGTCGGACTAGGGTATGGATTTGTGGGTTAACAGTGAGGAAAAAGAGGCCCCTCTTTCTTTTCACCATCACAAACATACTATAGGTGCTCCCGTTGGTATTTTGGTGAATAATATTTCCTCAAAAATGAGGCACAACATTAAAATAATTACACACACACATTCCAGCAAAAGCTTTAATCATGGTTGCATGGTGAAAACTAGATTACAGCCATACCTCTGTTCTTCCAGGCATGATAGGCTTTCCAGCATAAAGTTCCCCAAGTATGCAGCCAGCACTCCATAGATCCACTGCCACTCCATACTGAGTGGCTCCAAGTAAAAGTTCCGGCGGACGATACCAAAGAGTCACAACACGACTTGTCAATTGCACACTTTCATGGTGATCAAAGAAGCTTGCTAGTCCAAAATCCGCAATCTTCAAGATCCCATGGTTGTCGATTAAAAGATTTGAACCCTTTACGTCACGATGCAGAATACCACGACTATGACAATGATCAAGTCCACTGAGCAGCTGCTGCATGTAACATTTGACCTAAAAAATACCAATGAAACACCATTAGATTACTCATTGCAGTGAAGATGCAGAACGTCAAAAAAAATGCAGTGATTACCGGCGCCCTTTTGTTTTGGTTCCTAACAAGGTACATCGCTCAAGTATATACTGATACCAAAAGACACACCACATTGACATCCAACATGATGAAATTAGAAAGGGAATTCTCACCAAAACACAAAAATGAACTACAGCCCAACCAAAGAGCGCTATTATAAGCTTATAGCATTACCTGCGGTTCTGAGAACTTGACACCAGGAAGCGATGCCAGCCCCGTAAGATCATGTTCCATGTATTCAAAGACAAGGTACAAACTGCATGATGTCCGTGATGTGATCAGGCCTTCCAGTTTGATTATATTTGGATGATCAAGCCTACGTAAAATAAGGATTTCCCTTGCCATAAACTTGACGCTCTCAGGATCCATGTTATCAAACCTTACTCTTTTTAGAGCAACAACTCTCTTATTATTAGTGAGGTCACGAGCCTTGTATACGCTACTATAAGTTCCTTGGCCAATCTGCAAGAATGAAATGCTATCACGGAAGAACCAAAACCAACTATATGAGAAAACCAACATATGGAGAACATAATTAAAAATACAGTACTGAAAATATAATCAACAATACAATTGCGAAACCGGCAAAACATGACATGAAATTTTAGCTATCCTATTTTTCACAAAATTTTAGCTATGTACATCACTACATAATAATATTGTTGAAAACATACTACAAGTATACAACATGAATTGTCAATAGACTATCAAGTCAGACAAGAACCATACCTTATCTAATTTCTCGAAACTATTTGCTGGCCGCGGTAGCCATCCCTGGATAGCTTCACCGGCCACAGCCACAAGCCAAGACGGCCAGCCTGCTGCGACCTGTTCTCCTTCCATAGCTTTTGGAACACTTCCCATACCGGGAAAGTTTACAACAACTACTTCAGAAATATCTTTCTTCTCAAAATGATCATCCCTCACTCTTTTCGAATTATGGGCCTTCTTATCAATTATCCCAATTCTTGCATCACCACTGCCAAGCCTACTCTTTATTCGAAAACTCTCCTCTCTTTTCGAAGAGATGAACCGAGGCACACGAAAACTCGTTGACCCTTTATCCAATTCTCTTTCCCTTGTGCTATCCCGGCAGTCTTCTACGGCAGAAACCTTGCCACAAACGCCCCCCATAATTCACTCAACACGGACCCTCCTTTACACCTAAAAATCACCACCTAAAACTAGCTTTGTCATACCCCCTCCTTTTCAAAAACCATTGAACCAAATGGTCAACTGAAGCCCATCCGATCAAAAAAATAATTCTACTAATTACAATACCTTCAAACTCAAATTCACGAACAACAATTAAAACCCAGAGAATACGTCCTTCTCCAATGCTTCAAGCATAAATTAAACTTCCAACTGACTGCTAATTTCCTCAAAATAAAATCAATACCCAATACCTTTACAGTCGATATAATTCAGATGGATAAAGATAAACCCAGAAATCCCATCCACTAAATAAGGATTTTGATCTTCAAAAAAGCTTGTGAAGTTTCATAGAACTCCCGGGACAGAAAATACTTAGTTATGAAGGAAGAAAGAATTTTGTGTTGCTTTTGACTATTCAACACGCTATATACATACACAAAGAGAGGGATAGACAGAGACGGCTTGTTGCCGGCGGGGCTCAGTCAAGGGATACCAACACACGCTCTCTCTCTCTCTCTCTCTCTCTAGTGGCGTACTCTCTCTCTCCCCCTCTGTCTCTCTCTCTCAAACATAAATTTTTAAAAAATTAATCGAAATATATTTAAATTAATTCAAATCATCCGACAGTTGAGAAAAAAAAATTGGTATTGTGAAGGACCAGAGAAGGAGGATGGTTTAGAGGTGTAAAATTGTTAGTGGATTCGGTGAAAATTTATCTTATAAGTTGATGAGGTGTGTAATTAGTTTAGACTTTAGAGGCTGTGATGTATTATGGTTGATAAATATGGCAATGTTTTATTTGACTTTTTTCTAAAATTTGGGTTTTTTTTTTTTTTTAGGGAGTGAATTTTTTTTTTCTCCTATTACATTCCTTTTTTTCTCCTTTCCACATTAATTTCCTTCGATTATCACAAAACAAATTCCTTTTCGGCTCCTAACTAAACAAAAAGTCCTTAATTTTAGGTTTTTATTGACTAAAGAGTTAGGCATGAAATAGTAATTAGAATATAGAACCTAATTCTCGTGTTTTCAAAATAAAAAATGAATATGGCAAATAATTTTCTTGTAAACAAGATTTAGAATAAAATATTTCGGTTGAACCGTAACGGTCATACATTTCTAATGCACTATATGTCTCATAATAGGTCTCATTCTTCTATTATTTCGAAAAATTGATTATTATTCATCACTATTATCTTGACACCAATAAAGTGTTCGACCTAATATTTTATTTCTATCATAATTGATCTTGTTTCAAAATTAGAAATATATTATTATTTTTTCAATAATCAAACGCTTTTGTCTCTGAATATTGCACACTAGGGGTAATCTGTGTATAAAGGTATAATGCAATATAAATGAATTTGAAAANAATTAGAAGTATATTATTTTTTTTTTTCAATAATCAAACGCTTTTGTCTCTGAATATTGCACACTATGGGTAATCTGTGTATAAAGGTATAATGCAATATAAATGAATTTGAAAAGGATGTTCAAGGGCATTGGATGAGTCTATTTGAAACCGTCGGGATGAGTTTATAAAAGTCTATCATGGTTTGTATTATAGATTTAATTTTATCGATAAATCTATTTTATTCTCTATTAAGTAAAGATGACCAATTTAAAAAAGTATTGAGAGTTAGTTTTTGTATTTTTAGAATTTTTAGGCTCTGGTTGGTAGTACATTTTTTTAATTTTTTAGGTACACTTTTTAAATAGCTTATGTTTTGTTCTTTTGTTTTTTCTTTGTCTTTTGGTGGGTTTTTTTTTTTCAAAAATCTACATAAAATAATGAGTAATGCTATGACAAACTTGGAAAATCCATGAGTTATATTTCAAGTAGAAGAAGAGAAACCTATGACCATAGATGTGGTAAATAACAGTCCATGAAAAAAGATTGAGAGATGCCATTTTATTCAACTTATTGTCCGATATTTCACCAAATCTCCCAAAAAAAAAAAAATCATATTTCAAAACATTATTTAACACATTTTTATTCATTTTTTGAATACTGGAGACCGTTGGAACTTTTCAAACTGATTTTCCAGAGATCTCTTTCTTGCCGTCTCCATCAGTCCAAATCCTAATTCAACCTATATTTGTGGACATTAGAAACTTCTGGCTCTATCTCTAATTTTTCAGTCTTTATGGGGAATGTGGTTGAAAAAACCAACTTTCTAATGCCTAATTGGCGACGAAAATTAAGATGTGGGGCATTTAGTTTGTGTTTTTGGGCAAAAAAGGCGGCATAGGTTTCAACCTAGCATTAAACTTTGTTTCAGGCTTTGAAGCAAGACTTGGACTTTCCGTTGTCTTTATAACGGGGGTGATAATTTCTCATAAAAAATACTATTCAAAATTGATATGAAATTAATGAGCTAGAATTGATAATTTCTCGACACAAATCCGTTAACACGAATAATAAATGAATTGAGTTAGCGTCAAATATGAATAACACAAAATTGATATGATTAATATGTTTAAGTGGTATTCTAAAGATATTTTATTAAATAATGATCTAATTCTTGTAAAAAAAAGAAGATATTTTTATTCATTTTTATTGTTATATTTATTAAGTTAATTTTTATTTTATAGTATAGGTTCAATTAAGTGATAATGAACTTTTAGACATAAAACTTAACGTTAAATNTATTGTTATATTTATTAAGTTAATTTTTATTTTATAGTATAGGTTCAATTAAGTGATAATGAACTTTTAGACATAAAACTTAACGTTAAATTTTTGATTCATAAGTTATATGAGTTAATACGAATATGACACGAAAATAAATAGGTCGACATGACACGATACAATTGGCAAAATAAATTGAGTTAAAGTTGACTAGTGTTCGACACGAACCTGAAATGAAATGACACGATTATCACTCCTATTTTACGACGACAACCATNTTGAGTTAAAGTTGACTAGTGTTCGACACGAACCTGAAATGAAATGACACGATTATCACTCCTATTTTACGACGACAACCATTATACAAATTTTCTACAACTATTAACATTTAGGCGGTTAAAGACTATTCTTATAACTCAAATTTATGACATTCAAGGTATACTAGAGTAATCTTACTGTTAGATTAAGGCGTGTTGTCAAAAGGCATACGGATTGCAAGCACTCACAAGACCAACTTCCTTTCTTGGTTGAATCACAATAACAAAAATCTTATACATAAAGATATGTCCAGAAGTTTAATCAAAGGGTGAAAGAATATATCCATCAAGTAGCAAGTATCTGTACAGTGGATGTGGGTAGCTATAGTATATAGTTAGATACGAATCGAATATGATATGATATGTTTTTAATATTGATGGATCGGTTCTGATGCGAAGGATGTGCATCGGCCTTCGTGAAGGCCTCGTTGGGTTGAGGTACCAGGAAGGCTCGCTGGGACGAGGTGCGAGAAGCGGTGGCAGAATGACGACCTTGTTTTCTGTAGAATCTTGAGATTGGCACCCTAGCAAGGAGAAAACTAGTGAGAAAGACACCAATCTAGTACCAACCGAACTAACTCTCATGTCCAACTCAGTGCTTCGATCTAGTATGTAAAAATTAGGATGTTATGTTTTGACTGTCTTCTAATATCACCTATCAAAAAAAAATAAAATAAGGAGATGTACGCAATGATTTTTGCAAAATAAATGAACAGACAGATCTCTTCTTTAATGAACTCGAGTTTGCCTTGAAAGTCGTAGATAGATTCCGCTGCAAATAGATATAGAGTAATGGTGGTGAAGGATGGAAAGGAAACTTTTTGCAAATTATCTAATCACTCATGGATTATCGAATTAAGTCATGTCACTTAAAAAAAAAGGTTAGAAGGGCATCGAAGTGTTTTTCGACGTGATCTCTCCAACAATCAAGTCAGTATGTGAGCAAAGGGTGGAAAATCACTGTTATATTGTTTTGATGAGAATTTTCGTACATTACACTTGAGTTTGTGAAAGTTATTAATCACTGCAGACAACTAGAACTCCTAGAGAAGAGAATCCTCATTGCCCCATTTGAAAGGCATCCTATGGCGCACAATCCTTGAGCAAAGTGTCTTCCCTTTCACGTGGAAGAAGCTTCTACATTGAATGCTCGGATCCCTGAGTATGTAATGCTCCCTTTCTTGGGCTTGTCGAGCAATAAATAAGTCCTATCCCTCTGAGGGATCATTTAATGTTCTCCATTGTGGTTGCGCATGGACAGGAACATTTTCGTCCATTACCCTTAACTCTGTGCTTTGCACCTCATGCATCACTTTTATTGGTCACTGACCTGCCCTTTTTGTCACTCTGATTGTCTTGAAAAGGGGAATAATTGATTGACAAAAACTCAACTTCCAAGCCTCGATAACCGTAAAAACACTATTCATGATCAGCTTGGAAGACTCAAATGCCGAAAAAGACGTGTCAAGTGGAGAGACTCTCGGGGTGACCTTGACACCGAGGACATGTGTCGAGCGGCTGGGCTTCAAGGGACCTTAGTGCCGAGGACGCGTGTCAAACAGAGGTTGCTTCGCGGGGTACAAGTGTGGTGGACATGTGTCAGCCACAGAAAGCTCCATAAAGGCTCACGCCGAGAACACATGTTGCTTCATGGAGGGTCTAGGCACTATTATGCCAAGGACAAGTGTCAGTCATAGAAAACTCTGAAGGGTCTCGTGTCAAGGACACGTGTTGACTCCCCATCGATTTACGAACATGTCCCACCAAGAGAATAAGTGGATCTACACTATTTTATATGAAAAAAATTAGAAAATAGAATAATATGAGCATCTATAATGTAAAAAACAACAGATTTCAATAAGTTTATTCAACGGTCTAAAATAGACTTATCTAACGACCACTAACATTCTTTGCAAAATCATTCACGTTGAATTTTTTCTCCCATAAATTTATTATTTTTTATTTATATTACATTATATCTTCAAACACGAGTTACCTTAATTAAATAATACCCTAGGGCTAGTTTGGTCATCGGTGACGATGGTTGTGTGATTTAGAAAATGCTCCACCACATGCCAAAAGGGGTGAGAATCCTTTGATTTGTTTTTAGACGAGAAAAAATTCAATTTTGAGAAAAGATGTTGATGTAATTACAAGAGAGTGGCTGTGTGAGTGATGTAATTGGCTCTTTTGAGTTTTGACCGATGAGAAAGAGGAATTAATGGTATGGACTACTGCTTTTTCCACATTTGCGTCTAACCGTTTGAACAATTTATCTTGTTTGGATTTGCGGAACCAAAATTTATTATATTTATGAATATTTTTATTATATTTATGAGTATTTGTATTATTGTTATGATATTTTAAAAATAATAAAAATAATTATCATAACCTTAATAAACAAACCAATAACAATGA